TTGGGTTGTTTTTATTGTAGTTTATTTCTAATATTATGCCATCGTGGTCTGCGAAGACGCTTTTTATGATTTCAATTTTCTTGAATTTGGGGATACTTTGCTTGTGACCCAATATATGGTCTATTTTTGAATATGTCCTATGAGCATTTGAGTAGAATGTATATTCCCTGGCTTTCGGGTGAAGTGTTCTGAAGATGTCTATTAAGTCCATCTGATCTAGTGAGTCATTTAGGATTGCTATATCTTTGCTGATTATTTGTCTAGAGGACTTATCCAGTGCTGTCAGTGGTGTATTAAAGTCCCCTACTATGATTGTATTGTTGTTGATGTCTCCTTTGATATCTTCCAGGAGTTTTTTTATGAATTTGGGTGCTCCTGCATTGGGTGCATATATGTTTACCAGGATTATATCTTCTTGTTGTATTGATCCCTTTAGTATTATGAAGTGGCCTTCCTTATCTCTTGTTATGGCCTTCACTTTGAGGTCTATTTTGTCCGATATAAGTATTGCTACCCCAGCTTTCTTTTCCTTTCCATTTGCCTGAAAGATATTTTTCCATCCTTTCACTTTCAGTCTGTGTGAGTCCCTTCTAATGAGGTGGGTTTCTTGTAGACAGCAGATGTATGGGTCATGTTTTTTTATCCATTCAGCCACTCGATGTCTTTTGTTTGGAGCATTTAGTCCGTTTACGTTTAAAGTTATTATTGAAAGGTACTTGTTTGTAGGCATTTCTGTTTTTGTGTGGCTGTTTTCTTTCTGAGCTTTTTATTTCTTATTTTTATACCAGTCCCTTTAGCATTCCTTGCATTGCTGGCTTGGTGGTGATAAACTCCCTTAGCCTTTTTTTGTCTGTGAAGCTTCTTATTTCCCCTTCAAGTTTGAATGATAGCCTTGCTGGATAGAGTATTCTTGGATTCAGTCCTTTGCTTTGCATCACTTTGTAAATTTCCGTCCATTCTTTTCTGGCCTGATGTGTTTCTGTTGAGAAATCATTTGACAATCTAATGGGAGATCCCTTGTATGTAACTTTCCGTCTCTCTCTTGCAGCCTGTAAGATTCTCTCTTTGTCCTGAACATTTGCCATGGTAATTATGATGTGTCTTGGTGTGGGTCTTTTTGGGTTCACCTTGTTTGGGACTCTCTGGGCTTGTGTGACTTTTTTCTTCCCCACCTCTGGGAAGTTTTCTGATATTATTTCTTCTAATAGGTTTTCTAATCCTTGTTCATCCTTCTGTTGTTCTGGTACCCCTATTATTCGTATGTTGTTTCGTTTCATGTTGTCCCAAAGCTCCCTTAGGCTCTCCTCCTGTCTTTTCATTTTTTTCTCCAATTGCAGTACATTTTGGGTGTGTTTTGCTTCCTTGTCTTCTAAATCACTAATTCGGTCCTCCGCTTCTCCTAGTCTACTGTTGATACTTTCAATGGAGTTTTTCATTGCAGCTATATCACTCTTCATATCTTCTTGGGTCTTACTTAAGTTGTTGATTTTTTCATCTGTTTCTTCTAGCTTCTTCCATATGTTATCGATTTTTTCATCTGTTTCTTCTAGCTTCTTCCATATGTTATCGATTTTTTCATCTGTTTCTTCTTGCTTCTTGCTGAGGTTGTCGATTTTTTCCTCCATCCGGTTTATGCACTCTAGGACCCTTATTCTGAATTCTTTTTCTGTCATGTTGCATGCCTCTGTATTACTTAGCTGCTTTTCTGGAGAGTCCTCCTTCTCTTTCCTTTGGGGGTTTCTTTGTCTACCCATGTTTGATCTCACTGACATATCTAGACGTTGAGTCGTTCAGTGGCTGCTCCCTTGGTGGCAGTGACTCCTTGGTCTGCGGTTCCTCTTCGGGCGGTTGCGGTAGCAGCTGCTCTTCAGTTGGCAGCAACTCCTCTGGTGGGTGCTGTTCACAGCTGTGGTGGCTCTTCTGGCTGGTGGGGCGAGGTTTCACGTACAGCTGCTGTTCCTCAGCAGAGGGTGTGGTGCTCAGGAGGTTGCTGTTGCTTGGATCTGCTGTGTTGATTTAAAGGCACAAAATACAACACAACAAGGCACCACGTACCAGGCACTATACACAAATATATTCACGATATTAATAACCCCAAATAAAGGTGAGCACCTGAATTAAGAGAATTAGGGGATAAGGAAAAGGAAGAGAAAAAGAGAAAAGAGAAAAAAGAAAAGAAAATTAGGGACCAAAAAAAGGAGTGCAAAAATGAAAGTGGGAAAAAGGAGGGGGGAAAGTAAAAGCGAGAAAAGAAAGGAAAAGAAAAAAAAAAGAGCGAAAAGAGAGAATGAAGTGGAAGAGGGGAAGAGACTTTTTATATGAGGAGAATACTCCTATAGAACAGCCATTAATCCCAACAAATTCCAGCAACAGCTCCCTGGAGATAAATGCAAACTAGAAACAACCAATAATATAACGATGAAAATAGAATGGAGAACACTAATCCCAAAATAAAATAAAGAGAAAATAAAATGGCACTTTAAAAAAAATGGTAAAATGGTAGCAGTAATAATACTGGTTAAAAATAAGAAGGTAGTAATTAAAAGGGTAAAATCAGGTGATGGAAAAAAGAAGAAAAAAAAAAAGAAGAAGAAAAGGAAAAAAAAAAAAAAAAAAAAAAAAAAAAAAAAAAATTGGTTTATTAGTTAAAAGGTGAAAAAAAAAAAAATATTGCAGTAGTGAAGGTCCTTCGGTTCTTCTATTCTTCAGTGTGGCTCGCCTTAGACCTGCCAGGTATTCAGGAGAGTGTTGAGTTTCCCTGCGATACACTGTTCCTCTGTGTTGTAAACCACAGTCCTTATTTTAAAGCAAGCCGCATTTGTTTCCCAGACTGCCTTATTTTGTGTTTAGCAAAGAGTCAGTTTGTGGGTCAGCCTCTGGGTGGCAGTGTTCTGGGGTTGGCCTCTGAGGCTACAGGGCCTCTCTGTCCAGTGGAAGTTCACTGCCCAGAGCTGGCTGCGTAAGAGTTACCAGTGCTGTGTTGTTGCTGGGATTGAAAATCCCTCTATAGGCCAGACCCTGTTAACTCCCAGGGACTGATCAGGTTATTTTAATCCTTGATCTCCTACAGGGTGGAATCTGGGTGTGGCTGTGCTCCTTGCCTGGGGGCTGGGGGGAGGAGTCTCACTCTCCGGAGAGAATGGCTGCCTCAGACGTGGGCTCAGGGGTGTCTCAGCACTCAATTCGCTGCCACCTCTCCCGGCCCCCCTTCTCTCCTCAGTCTCTCCCCAGATTCCACTCCTCCGCACACTCTCCCTCTCTTCAGCACAGGTGAGTGTCTGTATCCGAAATGTCCCATGAAGAGGGTTCAGTGAAAACAAACAAACAAACGCCGGCCGCGGAAACGGGGAAGGCTTGGTTTCTGTAAGCTTCTTCTCTTACCGGGACTGCATGGTCTGGTCAGCTCTTCAGGCTGCCCCCTTTAGGCTCAGTCCTCTGTGATCACAGACCCAGCTCTCAATTCCCCCGGCAGCGCCAGGAATCCCGCGGTTCTCCTTTCCCCCGTCAGGGGCTGTGCCTGTCCCAAGGGACGCGGCTGTCTGCCACGCGGTCTCCCTCCGACTCTCTGGGCTCAGAGGTCTGGCAAACTTTCCTGCCCAAATCCCTGGTTTTTTTTACCTTTCCAGGGGAGTTCTGCTCTTCCCGGCTGTAAACCGTCTCGCCAGCTGAGCAATTTCGCCAATTCGGGGTGGATGTTACTAGTTTCAGCTGCTCACTCCATTTGCTCAGGGACACGACCTGGGACGCGTCTGCCTATACCGCCGCCATCTTCCTGAATCCCTCAATTTTGTCTTTCCATATATTTTCCTCATTGCCGGAAGCTGGTCCACCCTTGCTGCTTGACACAGTTGCTGCAGGAAGAAACATCTGCACAGCTTATGTTTCAAGGGACCTGGAGTATATGGCATATGTTTGCTCCCCCTCTTAATGCTATGTGTTTTAAACAGGACCACCTCCCCGAGAAAGGTTGTTTCCCCAGGTGAGGATTTTTCCCTGGAGTTAGGGAGGGAATAAAACCTCTTTACTAAGTGCCAGGCGGGTAGTTAATCACTTCACCTATAACAATCACGCTTATGCTACATAATCTTTACTTAGGATAATCTCCTTCAATTACTTCCTTGTAACTTAATAGAACAATAGAGTAGTAACCTTTGAATGGAGATAATAAACGCCCTAACCTTTGGAATAGAAATTGACAGGGTTAAAATCAACTGGTATAAATACAGATGTAACAAGACAATAAAACTCAGAACCTGGCTGGAGAACCTGGACAGAGAACCTGGCTGGAGAACCTAGCAAGAGAACATGGCAAGAGAACCTGGACAGAACCTGGCTGGAGATCCTGGATAGAACCTGGCAAGAGAACCTGGCTATGATGATCGACTGAACACTGTCTCCATGTTATTCCTTCTTCGTCAAGTTTGGGAACCCCTGGACCTGCTGGGGGTGGACCCCAATACCCCATCTCAAGCATTCAAATCATCACCAAAGTTGTCCCCTGTGATTTTGTGCACTGCATAAAATCCCTCCACCTGCCACTTCATTCTAAAGGTCCTTCACCTGGGCTTCCTTAGTTGAAGGTCTAACCAGCAGCATTACCCATGACTTTGATGTTTCTGTTATAAATTCTCAAAGTGAAGTGCAGCTTATTTCTTTTTAACAACTCCACAAGATGGCACTGGTTGGATTCCATGTCAATTTATGTGAACTCTATCTCACTTTTATACATTGTTGTTTGGTGTTCCCAGTCCACCTTCTCCATAGTTTCTCTCTTTGCATTTTCCTCCAGGGATGACCCTTTATCAAAGAGCTGAGTTCTCTTTCTCCCTGGCCTTTCCCATCTGTTAAAAACAGCTAGAGGCTGTGCACAAGGCTGTGTGTCTTGCCTGGTGTTTAGGTGGTTGGGGGAGATGGTTACTATGGGAGAACAAAGGAAAGCTTTTGCTCTCATAGAAAAGCAAAGATATATTTAGATCAATGGTAAGGTAGGTAATAATTACTTTCTTCATCAGAGGGCAATGGGCTGGGCATCTCTAGTCTTGCATTTCCATTATTTCCTTGGATGGGTACTTGTTCGTAAGACTCTGAAATAAAAAAGACAACAGCTGAGGTCCCACAGAGCCTTACTCTGCCTATTACCATTTTGTTGCACCTTACTGGCTTCTCTTTTCTTCCTCTGTTCCTACTTAAAGCCTGACTGCATATATTGCCACTTTCACTCAGTGAAAGTGTTTGTGTTTCGTTGATTCCACAGTAAATCTCTCCCTGACCTATTTTGACTTTTGTTTCTGTCTATCTTCCCCAGTGAGGCTCTGCAGCTCTTCTCCCTTTGTCTCTTATCTTAGTATTTCTCTTTTTCTTCAGGTCTCTCCTATCAATATATCAGGATCCATTTCTGCACTCTGTGTGTCTGTGTGATTGCCCTCTTTTTGTTAATGAATGTCTCCTTGAGTCTTACCTTACTTCATTCTCTGCCACCAGCAAATGCCCCTTGGCCTCTCCACATTCATCAAACCCAGCCACTCAGGCTTACCTGCTGACTCAGTCTCTTGGGCACATTGTTCATTCGCTTGTTGGCTTTCTAGTGCATCATTATTGTTACTGGTTGTAACTGTTTCATTCACATTTATCTGTCCTCTTTCACGATGGTGCTCTGACAGTCCATTTTCAGGTGGGGATGTACCTAAACCACATTTTGATTAGTAGTTATTTTATTTGCTTTGAGCATCAATCAGGGTCCAACAGGAAAATATAAAGCTCTCTAAGCCTTTGGAGCAGAGGGAATTTAATCCAGGGGATTAGTTATACATCTGGTGGAAGACCTGACAATTCCAAATTGAAGAATAGTCTACAGGAAGCTATCGGAGGGACCAAGGGTGAGCTCATGTGTCAAGTCACTGGGTAGGTAGAAGCTGGACCATGGCTGGCCTGCTTGGTGGGAGGTAGAGTCATGGGAGATGCAGCTATCGAGAGAATTGCTGCCCAAGACAGTGATAGGGAAATACCATGCTTCTCCCTTGCTTCCACTCTCCACTCCCTTGCTGGTGTCTCCCAGTTTAGGAATCCAGCAGGAAGATGTAGCAAGAGACCTAGCAAGCAAGGCTGCAAGGGTCTGTGGCCAGAGATAGAGGGCAGAGCAGAACAGAAGCCCATAAGGAATGAATCCCTGAGTAAACCATCCAGGACCAGTGCACCCTCTTCCCTATGGTGGGCCTCCTTGGTTCATTATTGATTCCATTGACCCATCCCACTCTGTTCCTACCAACCTCAATAGTTGTATGAATTGGTAAATATTTTTTTCAGTGCAGTTTGGATTTTTTCATTTAGTGCTATTTTCTAAGCAAAGTTATTTATGTAAAGTATGATTTAATCATAATTCCCCTAATTTTAATACAGAATGTGAAACCTGGTGCATTGTAATGCCACATCTACAGTTCCTTAGGGCCTCCTCCTGGGGTGGTAAGCATGAGACACAGCCCTTCCCTTGTCTGTGAATATCACAGTCAACCATTCCTGCTTATTGTGCATCATTTGGGTTGTAGGTTGAAATTCCTGTCGTTATTTTTATTTAAAAATTAAAATGTATCTTTGAAATTCCTCTCTTTATACTAGTATACATTGTTCCCAATCATTAAGATGCTCTGGGATTTTATTTCCAAGCAGATTTGCTCTCAGACCACATTGGGAGTCATAATGTCATTGCATCCTCCCCCACATCCTACACACACACGGGCACACACAAACACACACACACACACACACACACACACACACACTCACATATGCGCACATGCAGACACACACAGAATCCCTTCCCTGCTCATTACTCCTCACAATTCTTTCCTTTCACCCTTCCTATTCCCACCAGCAGGACCGGTGGCTACATGGATAACATGGATTCATATACTTTAAAGGATATTTTTAAATTAAACTTTTTGAGTAAATATGATTTGCTAAAAGTATAACTGTGCTTTCAAAAATAACTCTGAGAAGTTTTTCTTTTATAAAAATGTATTGCTAATTTGAATATCCTTTCTTAAATAACACATCCTACTGGCAGCTACATTGCAATGCCTGCCATAGTGAATTTTCCTGAATCTCTTCCCTGTCACTCATTTCCAAAGGAGAGTCATACAACAAACACATGATACTTCTTATAGACTAGTGTGCTCTAGGGTACAGAATCTGAGGCCCTCAATTTATTTTCTGTGGCCTGAGGTTGGTATTACTGTTATCACTGCTTTTCCAAATATCCCAGTTTACTGTAGTAGTTAAGAGCTTAGACTCTGGCACTAGATACAAATAATAATGATCATTAAACATAGTGATATTAACACATGCATGGAACACTGATGAGGTACCAGGCATGATTGTGAATACTTTACATCACATAACTTGTTTAAAATCCATCACCCTGTGAAGTAGGTACTGTTATCATCTCCATTTTATAGATGGTGAAACTAAGGGACAAAGAGGGAAATCCACTTCCCAGGGCCACAGGGCAGAATTTAAAGCCAGCCATGGGAGGGGAAGCCAGGGGATTGTCAAGGGCGGGAAAAAAAGGAGACATATGTAATACTCTTTATAATACTTTAAGCAATAAAACAATTAAAAAATAAAAAAAAAATAAAAACTAAACTAAACTAAACTAAACTAAACTAAAATAAAATAAAATAAAGCCAGCCATGGGTCAGCAGACTTCCTGTTCTGACACTGCCCTAAGGTGAGGTCTATCCCTAGTCTCAGTGGCTGAACTTGCATAAATAGCCAAAGTCTCAGTTCATTCTTTGTTCTCTGAAAAATGTGGTTGATACACCATCATTGTATTTTTTTAATCCTCACCTGAGGACATGTTCATTGATTTTCGAGAAAAAAGGGGGGGGAGAGGGAGAGATAGGGAGAGATAGAGAGAGAGAGAGAGAGAGAGAGAGAGAGAGAGAGAGAGAGAGATTGAGAAAGAAATTGCTTGCCTCCTGTATGTGCCCCAATTGGGAACTGAACCGGCAACCTAGGTATGTGCCCTGCCAGGGAATTGAACCCTTGACCTTTCCATGTACAGGATGATGTTCCAACCAACTGAGCCACACTGGCCAGGGTGATATACCATCATTTTAAGTGTTTGAGACAATTAAATAAAATATTGCCTATATCACTATAAGAGATATTGTGACTGATTAGAAAATTAACTCTTTTTGATTAATATCTTAAATATATAATATTTTAAATAATTTAATACCATTATTAAGAGTGTTATAGATTAAGGGAAGGTCAAGAGTTGTACACAGTGGCGATTGGTTGCTAAATTACCAAAGCATTTTTTTGGAGGCTGGTCAGGTGTTTGGAGGGCAGCTCCAGGCCTGCTGCTCCAGAGATGATGGGAGAGGGTTTGCTCGGGAGGCACATGGTGTCCATGGTGAGGGACCCAACAGGTAAGAGACCCTGGCCCAGGAGGAACACACTTATTACCCCTACCTCACCACCCTTGCTACAGTGCTGGCCACAGCTGGATGTGATGTCAAAGCAAGGCTGCAGCCAGATTCAAGCAAGACAGAGGCAGAACACTATGAAGCCAGGTGCATGGGCAATAGGTCCAGGCCCAGGTTGTCAGGAGCTGGCAGCAAGTGCATTTCAGGAATAAGGAAGGAGTGATCCTCCCAGGCAACCAGGAAAATGAAGACTCTGTTATTTAAATCCTCGGATAAATTGCAGAAGCCAAAATGGACAATTTTGGGTGATCATTACTAAAAAGAAGCAGCCCTCCCACCATAGCACCTGCCAGATGGGACCAGAACTGCAAAGGGTCACAGAAGTCAACAGGAACAGACCATTGTAATTCGCGGGATGTGAGCAGATCCAGGTCAGGCTTTGATATGAGTTTTCACCAGTGCCTGGGTTGGAAAATGAGAAGTTTATTTCAGAAATGCTATCCTCCCCTAATTCCCCTTGAATCTTTATAAAGTAGGACTTGAGGATGCCCTCCCCCCAGGTATCAATACAGAGCCCATCTGGACCTGGCGGATTCCACCCCACTCTTATAGTCAGACCCAAGTCCCCCTTTGGACTGAAAGCACCTTGGCCAGTCCATCTCACTAAGTATTTTCCATGAGCACCTTAGGTGACTGGCAATGGCTTTTCATGTCACCCATGGCCATAGTGAAACTTTTTTTGTTCCCACAGCTGCCCCTGACTGGTGGCCTTGCTGTAGTTCCTACAAAGTCCTGGTGCTTCATTGCACCCCTCTTTGCACCATACCCTCCCTCCCCATGTCTGTTTCTCTGTCTTGTTGGCCTTTTCATGAGGTTCAGTGTCTGATTCTCCTATACTCCTTCCAGCTCCTAGTATTCTTCTTTCTGTGTTTCTATCTGCATATATTTCCCTATTTTTGTTTCATGCTTCCGGCTTTTCCATGAGATTATCTGGGTGTGTGCAGGGTTAAGAATGCCAGGGTTCATCTTGCTCATTTGACCCCAGTCCAACTACACATACAACCTGCCAACTACACACAGATTTTAGTCTCCTAATTGCAGAAAGAGTACATACATAATATTAACTTCTAATGGCAGCTGGGAGCACTAAGTCCACAGCTGTCAGAGTAAATATTCAATAAGTGAGCTCTTAGTAATATGGTTGTTTTATTGTGTCCTTTACCCCTTTCTTCTGTCTTTCATTTCCCCTCCTTCTTTTCTCAAAATATGCACATTTCCTCTCTTCTTTCTATTACTGCCCATCTCCTTTAATATTCCTGCTCTTGAACAGAATCCCCCACATTTGAATCAGTCCCTTTTTCTCTCATTATCAAGGATCTCCTCTGTGATGTTGACCTGGGGTCCATAGTTCCTAACCCTATATAGCTTCACACTGATCTTCTCCTACAGGATCTCTCTAAATCACAATTACTTCCAGGTTAGCATTGTCTATAAACTGGTTTCCTGACAGATTGGGTTCCTGTTCCTTTGTCTTGTTTATTGAGCCAAGGGTATCTTGTCATAGCTCCTTCTCCTGGATCAGTCTCTGGTAAGATGATCATAAAAACAGCGCTCCCTGCCTTCTCCATGCTCCTCAACAGTTCTTCTCTGATTCCCAAATTTCATCAGGACTAAGGGCCCATCTCCTGTTCTGCTTTCCACTTTAGATGAGAATCAGTTTTTATGTTTGCAATCACCTTGTTCAAGACTTAGTTGGGTGTTAGGGTTCTCCAAACTCTCGTCTCCATCATTTTCTTGGAAACAAATGCTCTCAGGGTTTTCTGAGAAGATGGAGAGAAAAGACACTTAGAGATTTCCATCAGAGACCAGGGTCATCATCTCAAATTTACATGTTTAAGAATTTCTAACCCTTGGGTCACTCAGAGCTCATTGGGTCCCCATCCTCATGGTAAAGTTCTCCGTCATTGCTGGGACAGGAAAAAGAGCCCCCAACAAGCAACTATTTATATTTTGCACACAGAAAGTAGCCACTCAAATGTCAGTATAACGGAATTGTGAAAACATAGTAGTAAAAAAATCATACGGTTGGGAAAGAAAATATCAAAATAAATACTGGAAGTTAAGTGTGTTTTCTGAACTATTCCAAGTATAATGAAGCAACAGATGGGTTTCTCAGTAGAAGGACTAAGATTCTAGAGAGATCCTTGTGATGAAGATAAAGCCCAAAAGCTTTAAAGATGGGCCTGGAGAAGAGTAGGGTTGGACTTAATTGGGTCAGGGAGGAGGAGTTTTTCCCAAAGAGATAGACCAGAGGACACTGGTGAAATTAGACAGACCTCCTAGGGGATTGATTTCAGAAATAAGGAAAGGACACTGAACCTGCAAGCAGGGAATGAATATTTTAGCACTGGAGGATGCCTCCAGATTCCTCAACCAGGGGCAGAGGAGGCTGCAGTGAGGAGGGACTAGAGCATTAACCTAGGGCCTCTGCATGTAGATGACACAATAAATGTAAGGAGGAAGTATATAAACCAAAAAGTCTGGGTGTGAGTGTCTATGGGGAGACCAGGGAGGATGAGGCACTGTGGAAGGACATGAAGGCTACCCTAGGCTGATAATGGGAGCTCCTATTGGGACCATGCCCATTGCTTGATAGATGAACAAGACTGTGGGAACCACAGATGCTTTGTCATTCCAGGACATGGCTATAAATCCAGGAAAAATCAGGTAGAAGATAGGGCTTAAAGCCAGAAATGGTAAAAGTAACCTATGGTCAAGTGTTCTGCTGAGGGTTTGAGTGGATCTATGAATGGATGAAAGTGGCGTCCAGGCAGCAGGAGAGTGACACACTTCAAACCACAACCTTTAGTTTCTTGAATTTTGCATTGTTGACCTGTAGCTACATGGGCAGCAGAATATGGGAGGTGGAAGCTGCAGCCTTCCTCAGAGGTCGGTGGGCAGCTTTGGGCATACATGTGGGTCATCCCAGAATGGGGAGCCCTAGAAACCGAGGCATGTGATTTGGGTACGAGGCCCTGGGGAGGGAAGTTCCCGAACTCCATGGAGAGGATCAGAGACCCTAAGATGTAGGTAGTAAAGGTAACTGCAATTCCCGTCTTACCCATGTCTTGGAACATCCTGGTTACAAATATAATATTGACTTGAAATTTGTGACTAGGTATTTGACTTCCTTTATCCCTTTTTCTGACTAAATGACTTGCTGTAAAAACAACTTTGTTCTTCATTACATAAGACTGCTATTGATACAATTCAATAAGCCACATGTTTCATGCCTACTTTAAACTATTTCCTTGTTTACAAACTTCTTAGTATCTCCTTATTGCCTACTTATAAACTTCAAATTGCTTAACTTTATATACTAAACTTTGTAAAATCATCTTCAAACTTATCTCTCTTGAATTAGCTCCCACAGTATGCTTTTCATCTCTGATTGAGCCAAATCAAATTTGTCCTTGTTTTGAAGACATAGTAGTCCTTTTCACACTCATGTCTGATCCCATAGCATCCACCCTCTTAGAACATATGACCATTTTTCTTGTAATGCCTCTATCTCTTATCTGGAGAACTCCATTGAGCTTCCATTGGAATAAAAAGTTCACTTAGGCAAGTAAATTATCTATCTATCTATCTATCTATCTATCTATCTATCTATCTATCTATCTAGGTACAGTAGAACATTCTCTTAACTGGGTACCATTATAAAGTATAAATTATGTCTTCTTAGAAAATCATACCTTTTTGAGAATCATACCTATAGTGTTATATAGCATCAAAAGTAGTCCCTGGGAGAGCAATAGTTTTTGTGATTCTATGACTAATGTGTGTTTCACCCCTTGTGAAGAAAGTTAATAAAACCATTTCTTGTTCTTTAAGAGCAAATTTGACTTTGGGTTAAATTTCTTGCTTATTACTCTGGACACCTGATGAAGGTGGCCTCTCTTCTGTGTCACTAGGCCAACACTGAGCTTATGGTAAAAAGTGACCTGTGACTGTAGGTAGATAAATTGTATGTATACTAGGAAGGACTATATGTGAACTATAAGCCATGTATGATCTTTCTTCAATGTAGTGACTCTTGTAACTCAGCTCTTCTTTGTGGGGTCCCTGAAAGTTACAACTACAGAATTGTTACATGAGACGTTGACTCCCATGAGCTTGGGATGGCCAAATCACAGTGGATCCCACAACTAAGCTGTCACTAGTGGTGGGTGGTAGTCACCTTGGTGGACTGCTGTGTGGACAGCTGCAAGGGGTTCCACAGAAGAGCGGCAACTGATGCTGCCCTGTTGGGATGCTGAGTTTCTTGTCATTTGTCTTTCTAAGTAGGTCTCATGCCACCATGGCTCTGGTTGTCCTGTGACCCTAAATGCCTAGTTAAGCAGACCTGCAGGGGGTATTTATAGTGTAGCCATTTTATCAAAAACTTTGAGAGGCTCATGATATGTCTGTTTTCTTAACTGCTATATCCCTACTGCCCAGCACTGTGAGTGGTACATAGTAGGAGTTAAATATATACTTGTCAAAAAAAGTTATTCCTGTACAGCAAGAGGTAGATAATAAACTAATTACCATTTTCAAATCCTTTATAAATGGTATTTAAGGCAGGGTATTCCTGTTTGTTGTCCTCACTGAATAATGCTTCCAGGAGTGATAGGTCAAATGTCTTCTCCAGCTCTTCGAGCACATTGTACACCACTCTCTGTACAGGGACCAGGTTTCTACAAGATTCTTGACAATCCTAAAAATAATAAATGGAGAAAATATAAATATGAACTTCCAAGTTACAGAAGAGCCCTAGAAAGTGATTTTTGTTGTTGCTAATCCTCACCAGAGGATATTTTTTTCCATTGCTTTTCAGAGAGAGTGGAAGGGAGGGAGGGAGTGGGAAGGGAGAAAGAAAAAAATCATTGATGAGAGAGAGATACATCGACTGGTTGCCGCCCGCAGGAGTCCTGACTGGGGCTGGGAACCTGCAACCCAGGTATGGGCCCTTGACCAGGAATCAAACCTGAGAGCCTACAGAGCTCAGGGAAACGCTCTAACCATTGAACCAGTCAGTCATAGCTAGAAATTTATTTTGTTGTAAATGTGTTACAATTTCCCGCATAGGTATTTTTTCATGTAAAATTTAGAATTGTTATATATTTGTATGACTACTAAGTGATTGTAACATAAGAAACCTCACTTACTTCATACATTTTATTGGTGATGAGTTCACGGTCACGAAGAATCTGAAGGAAAGGAAATTCTTTATGTATTGCTCTTGAAATCTCCACCTTATTTCTTTTGAAGTGCTGGAATCTAATATCGTAGGTAAACCTGTTGTCTCTGCCCTGGTCTTCTGTGGACATCCTAGGGAGAAGGGATACTATGTGAAAATGGTTATCAAGATTCTGAGATGCTTGTGGAGGCGGTTAAGAGAAATATCACCCTGCGTTATAAAACTAGTTAATAACTAAAAAGTTGTGGTTTGATAATGATATAGAATAAATTTAGCATTTCACAAGAATATCACCATTTCTTCTGGGACTTCTGCTTTGTGTTGTTATAAATCTACCTCTGCTTTGTTATATACGGTGAATTTTTTTATGCATCTAAACGTTAGAAATTGCTGTTGTTTCCAGTGAAAGTAATTGTAATCCTGAGACTGTAATTCTGGTTCTTAGTTGATCATTTTATTACTATGATAACAATATTTTAATCAACATTTTGTATTTCTAAATGTTATGAAGACTCCTATTTTTGTCAAACAAGAAAAGTACCCAATAGGCATATACACATCAGGTAATAATAATGTCACATTATTGCTTCTAATTCCTGCAAGAAAGTGTTTCTGGTTAAGGATGGGAGTTGAAGAGAAGCATTTGTCTTCTCTTTTATTGAAAACACTACTAAACTGATAATGAAGGAATGTAGGTGGAGGATACTCCCAGCAGTCAGGAAATCAACTGTGTGCCCTGTGGGATCCTTAAGGCAGTAGAAATTGAATGGGAGACATGCTGCTTAAAACCAACATGTCATTTGAAAAATGAAGAGCAGAACAACCCCACAACCCACAAGAGTGGTTCTCAACCGTCCTAATGGAGCGACCCTTTAATACAGTTCCTCATGCTGTGGTGACCCCTAATTTCATTGTTACAAATTGAACATAATTAAAGCATAGTGATTAATCACAAAAATAATATGTAATTATATATGTGTTTTCCGATGGTCTTAGGCGACCCCTGTGAAAGGGTCATTTGACCCCCAAAGGGGTCGTGACCCACAGGTTGAGAACCCCTGACCCACAAACTGACCACCTGAAGCCAGGCAGCTCTCAGAGGCAAACATTGCTGTCTTTTTATCAAAGTATGTTACTGTCGCCTGTTACTGGATTTGTACATAGAATAATACATTATGTATGCTTATGTGTCTAACTTCTTTTGTTCATTATCTATGTTTTTGGTAATTAGAAGTTTGTTCCTTTTTTTTTTGGTAGAGAATACTCCATTGGATGTTTTTACCACAATCTGCTTATTTATTTTCCTATTGATAAGCATTTGGATTGATTCCAGTTTGGAACTAGTGCAAATAAAGCTGCTCTGCTTTTTGTGGCGAGATGTTTTCATTCCTCTTGGAGAAACAGCCAAAATTGAAATTGTAAGGTCATTGTGTAGCAGTATGTTTAACCATTACGGTATCTGCCAAACTGTTTTTCAAAGTCTATAAGAAATAACCTTTCCAATTTTAGTCATTTTAATGTGTGATGTGCTATCTCAAATAGCTTTAATTTGTATTTCTTTAATGACTAATTATACTGATCATATTTCCATATGCTTATTGGCGATTCATGTATCATTATTTATTATATATCTTCATGTAAAGTGTCCATTCAAGTCTTTGTCCTATTCAGATTATTGTGTTGTCTTTTACTCCTTAATAATGTGTAGGAGTTTGTTATATATTGCAGAAATAAGGGGTTTTCTTTTTTTTTACTCTTTTTTAAAAAAGAATTTTTATGCTAAACACCCTGCTTTTAGCAATTAAACTGCACAACCCCTACCTCAGACCTCCACCCCTGCCCACCACCACACACACATACACACAAAATGAATCATGTTCACTCCATGTGCCCAGTGAGCTGTCAAACTGCCTTCTCCCATCAATTTCATTTGGAAATACCAAATCTGGTTCCAGCCTATATCCTTTCTAAAGACTTAATTCTTCCCCCACCACCAATTTCAAGAGCACTTCCTCTGTTCCTTTCCTATGGCACTATACCCTTCCATCCCTTTTCACAAATCCTAATTTTCCCCACTAGTCTCAAGTTAATGGGAAGTCTATTTGGTTCATCTGGGCCTACAGAATGAAATGCAGGCCTTAGCATGCAGCAGGCCCACAAATAAAGCATGTCCCAAAATTAATGCAAGAAGTAATTTTGATAGAAAACCCAGGTTTATAATTAAAAATTGTAATTTTTTTATTGATTTATAAAGTATACAGTATAGGATTATGTATGGAATGGCATATCGGGTAAATGGTCTCCACAGCTCTGCTGGTGCATACACACTCTTTTGTTGAAATTTTCCATGACCATTTTGCATAAATGTGGCTGAATTTAATGAGGCTCGTTTTCATCTTGATGGCTTGGTTAATTGACAAAATTGTCGTATTTGAGGTTCAGAAAATCCACAAGTGATTGTTGAGAAACAAATGCATCCACAACTTGTCACTGTTTGGTGTGGATTTTGGGGTGTAGGCATCATCGGACCATTCTTCGAAAATGAGGCTGCTCAGGCAATAACAAAAGAGTGCATATGTGCCAGCAAAACTGTGGAAGCCATTTACCTGATATGCTTTTGCATACATAACTCTATACTGTATACTTTATGAATCAATAAAAAATTTACAATTTTAATAATAAACCTGTGTTTTCTATCAAAATTACTTTTTGCGTGAATTTTGGGACACCCTTTAATCCTATATAATAAAGAGGTGATATGCAAATTAACCCTCACACCCTCACAAGATGGCTGCCTATGACCAAGTCAGCAGGGGGGCTTAGTGAGGAATGACCAAACGACTGAACAAGCAGGCTGCATGGGGCAACCAGGCCAGCAGGGGGTTAGTGAGGGATGACCAAACGACTGAACAACAGGCTGCATGGGGTGACCAGGCTTGCGGGGGGCCCGTGAGGGGTGACTAGGCCAGCGGGGGGGAAGTTGGGGGCAACCAGGCCAGCAGGGAGGGGGCAATTAGGAGCAACCAGGCCAGCGGGGTGGGGGGGCGGGCAGTTGGGGGCAACCAGGCCAGCAGGGAGGGGGCAGTTAGGAGCAACCAGGCCAGTGGGGGGGGGGGGGTGCAGTAAGAAGTGACCAGGATGGTGGGCAGGGAGAGTTAATGGAGACCAGGCTAGCAGGGGAGGCAGCTAGGATCTATCAGGCTGTCACGCAAAGGCAGTGAGAGGCGATCAGGCCAGCAGGAGAGGGGGGCAGATAAGGGCAACAGGGCAGGCAGGCAGGTGAGCGATTAGGAGCCAGCAGTCCAGGATTGTGAGAGGGATGTCCGACTGCCGGTTTAGGCCTGGAAGTCGGACATCCCCCAAGGGGTCCCAGATTGGAGAGGGTACAGGCTGGGCTGAGGGAACCCCTCTCCCCCATGCACAAATTTTGTGCACTGGGCCTCTAGTTGATGAAATAAAGCACGAAGGATATTTGTACCTAGAGGCTCAGCTGACAAAATCTGGGAAGAATTTCCTGTTAAAACCTTCATAACTGCACACAGGCAAAACTGTACAATTTGGTATGAAGAGGGGTTATGAGGAGGGGTGAAGAAGGGAAACAGGTACAAAGTAATTGGAAGGTCCTATGAATGTGCGTTATTAGGTAAAAATAACCTGAGGAGTTATCTATCCCCATCTCTTGGCCTTGTAAGTAGAGCAATGAACTAACAAAGAGCTGGGGCCAGAAATTAAGTAGGAGGGGGAAGCCCTATCACATGCCTTACCGCCCCCCCCCCCCCCCCCCCGCAACCCCACCAAACTTCTACTGAAAGGAGTTAGCTCTGTCAGCTTCATTGGGGGTCCTTGAGGGACAGTGCAGAGATGAGTAAGGGATGCACTCAAAAGTCATAAAATCTTATGGCTGCACTCTGACGGCTGTTACCAAAGGATAGAAAAATACGTGGGGTGGGAGGGGTGCGCTAGAGGCCAAAGCTTAAGGATGCAAAGCAGATGGCGTTCAGGCCCGCATGGCTCCTGGGAGCCCATGTGTCCAAGACCTAGAAGCTGGGCAGTCCTCTAGCCCCGCCTGATCCTGGGCTCCAAATCCAGATCTGAAAAGATCCGAGAACCCACCCCTAGGCTACCTCCCCGCACTGGGTTTACACCAACGTGCCCAGGGCCGGCCATTTCCCCAGATTGAAGTGCGAGGGGACCCCTGACCTCGCACCATGCCCACCATGTTCCTGGAGGCACCATGTTTGATTTATGTATTGGAAATATTTTCTGCCAGTTTGCCCTTCATTCTCTTAATTAAGTCTTTTGATGAGGAGAAATCTTTTTGATGAAGCCAAATCTATTTTTTGTGTGGTTAATAACTTTAGTGTAATAAGAAATCTTTGTCTACCCTAAGTTAATGAAAATATTCAAAAAGCCATTTACATATAAGCATGGGTATCTTTCTGGATTTTTCTCTTCTGTGCTACTGATCTATTTGTCTATCCTTATGCCAATAGCATATTGACTAAACTACTACAGGTTATAGAAGGTCTTGATGTCAATTAAGGAAAGGTTATTTTGGTTTTCTAAGTCTTTTGGCTTTCCACATATCTTTTATTTATTTTTTATTCCTTTTTTTTTTTATCCAACAAGTGTTTATTGAGGGCACTGTCCTTTTGAAAAATATTATTTTTATTGGTTTCAGGTATTCATCATAGTGATTAGACAATCATATACTTCAGAAAGCGTTCTCCCAGATAGTTCCAGTACCCATCTGGCACAATATCTTTAAAAATCAATTTTTCAATTTTTATAAGAAAAGCTTTTTGGATTTTTATAGCCTTTTGCATTTTGAAACCATAGAGAAATTTGATGAGAACTGACATTTTAACAATATTAAACTCCAACCTACTCCTATGCTTCCAATTCCATAACCTAGCTCTATTTTTGCCATGTCCTTACTACTCCTTAATATATTAAGTCAATTATTTATATATTTTATTTAGTTTTTATTGTCATATTCATTGTCTGTCTTCTCTCAAAAATATATAAACTGCAAGCATAGGGATTGTGTCTGTTTTGTCCTTTGATTTTTTTTGGGGGGGGTACTTGATACACATAAGGCGATAATCAATATTTATTGGTTAGATGCCCATAAGTACAAAAGTTTT